GGGTGTAGGGGCTTCGGGTGACTACGAAACATGTAATATTTAGACACCAACCCGACCTCGTACCCTCAGACATAGCCCAAAATCGCTCCGCGGGACGGGCCGGCACGGAAGACGCCTCTCACTCGCCGACAACGCGAAGCGTGAGGCACGTGCACGGCTGTTCGAGCGCCTTTTCCATCCGATCGCGTAGCTCGGTTGGGTCCCAGTCGAACTCGGGCCTCTCGCCGCTGCAGCAGTCGTGGCCCCGGTCGAAGAAGGCGAAGCGCTGGTGGTCGCACACGTCCTTCTCCTCGTCCGGCTCGGTGGGCGGGCGCCACCCGGCGCCGTACGCCGTCTCGACCATCATCCACCAGCCCTGGTAGAGCCGCTCCGCGCAGAGCGCGGCGAGCCGGAAGTTGTATTCGGCGAGCGAATGAGCCACCTCGGCCGAGCGGGTCCGATCGAACCACAGCCTGGTTTGCATGAAGGCCGTGGTGTCGACGGACTCGGATCGGCTTTTCATCTCCCACATCTTGTTTTCGAGGTCCTCCACCTGCTTCTCGCTCGCGGACGCGGCTTATGAGGAACTCGGTCGCGAGAGGGTCGCGGGGCGGGCGGCTGCTGCTCCCGCCGCTCGCCACGACCCGATCCACGAACCCCTTCACCTCGTGGTTCCCGATCACGCTAGGGGGGGAGCGGGTCGGCGCAGCGGGCGGAACTAGCGCTGGGGTGCTCGCCGCCGGGAGGAAGCCTGGGTACACGGCGCCGCGCCGCTCCACCACGTCGATGACGCGCTCCATGACCGCCGCCACCTGGCGATCCTCGTCGGCCTTGCGAGCCGCCCGCGCCTCTGCCTGTAGGCCGGCCGCATCAGCCGCCCTCAGCGCTCGCAGCCTAGTGACGACTCGCGCGCCGGCGCTCTCCGCCTCGTCACGCAGCAGCAGCGGCGCGCCAATCATGTCGCACAGGAGCATCGCCATCGCCTTTTTTCTCGATATCTTCTGCGACTGCAGGAAGGTGATGTTCCGCTCGACGGCAAACACCGCCTCGATGGCATCCTCAGCGCACAGCATCATCTCGTAGGTGACCTCTGCGGCTATCTGCGGAAGCCCAGAGGGGCCACCCTGACCGCGATTGCCGAAGATGACGATCTCGGCCCGCATAAAGAGCTCTCGGCGGGTCAGAGCCAGAGCCGCCAGGCGAGCAGTCCCATAAGCGTCCAGGGAGAGGCCAGCAGCCTTGTCTGCAAGCTGCTCGGCGCCGGGCGGCGCTCGGCCTGAAGGTGGAGGACAGGCAGATCTTGCGATACGAATCGAGTGCGGTTGGGTACGGGTCGATACTAAGACGTACTAGAGGCGAACGGCGGGAGCGCACGCCTGACGCCCAGACGAAGCCATCGGGCTCACAGCGCAGCTCAGCCATCGCCCGTACGGGTCCGTCGCCTTGAGTATCCGGATCATCCCCATCGGAGGTCGGCTCCCTGTTGGCTGCTTGGTCTCCCCGGAGCTCGGGCTGTCGAGCTCCATGGCCTCGCAGTTTGCGCAAACTCGGAGCTAGCGAGCTGCCATGCTTTCGAAAATAAATTCGCCGATCTCCGTCCGAGACGCAGTGGGGCGGAGCCTACCCTGGAAAAAGTAAAACAAGCTACCAACGACTCCCTCGTACAAAGTCTCAGGGTCGACAGGTGAGCTCCCAGAGGGCGGGCAGCGTCTCGCCCAGCCAATAGCGGGCCGCCGCTGAGTCGCACAGCGCGTGCTGGCTCGGCCGCAGCAGCAGGAACGAGACCAGGAAGGCGGCGCCCTTGCCTCCGAGCGCCGACGGCAGCTTGCGCACCAGCATGCCGGGCCAGTTGGCAGGGTTGCGAAAGTCGCTTCTTCGAAGCTCCGCCTCCCGCCGCTCCGCCTCGCCCCGCCGCTCCTCCTCCGCCTCGCGCGCCTGCTTCTCGAGCTCGGTGATCCGCTCCTGCAGCACCGCCGTCTGCTGCGCCTCCCTCTCCGCCACCGAGCGCGTCGCCGCGAGGAGCGCCTCCACCCGCTCGAGCGCGTCGTTGCCGCCCTCCAGCTTGCCGACCAGCTCGTGGCAAAGCTGCACAAACTCACTCGCGTAGCGGTGGCCGCTGCGGACCTGCTCAAACTTGAGCATCGCCTGCCTCACCGCGCGGCACGTCTGCGCGGGCGGCTGCGAGCGGGTGAGCGCGTTGAAGAGCGCCCGCTGCGCGTCCTGGTAGAGCCGGTCCTGCGAGTCCATCGTGCGCCGTCTCCGCTTCCCAGGGTCCGAGGCGAGGAACTCGGGGTTGACGACCCCCGCGCCCGCGCGAGGAGGCGGCGTGCGGAAGCCGGCGCCGCTCCTACCAGCCTTGGCCCGCAGGGTGGGGCCGGAGCCGCCGCCGGCAGCGGGTGGCGAGTCGGAAGAGGCGGCCATCGGTTGGCGAGTCGGAGGAGATGGCGCCGCGCCCAATGCCCGAGGTCGGTCGGATACGCCGGAGCGCGAAGACCGGATGCGCGGCCGTTAGCACAAGAAAAAAGAACTCCAGTGTCCGATGACACGAGAAAAAAGAATTTAACGTGGGTGCGACCTGCACACGGCTGCAGTGTGAGCCGTGCGTGGGCTTAGCACGACTACGGCATTGACATCGCCAGTGCGCGCCAGTCCCGCGACCGCACCCGCTCATTCGCACAATTGGGCACGCAAGCATAAACAAGGGATAGTCGTACACAGAGCCGGCGGCTCTCCCCAGTCGCGTGGACACTCGACCCACTCGGCGTCGCTCCACGCTCGACGCCGCTCGGCCTCGGGTCGAGCCCAGCCTCACCACCTCAGGCCGTCAGGGGGCAGTGTCTGTCGGCTAGCCAGGTGTCAGTCTGAGAGCAGGTCAGTGTGGGTTTTCATGGCAGGGAAGGAGGGTGGACATGCCCACGTACACGCGAGCTCAAGCGAAGCTCGAGGCTGCCGCCCAGAGCGAGGGCGCCCCGCATGCATGCTCCCGAAGACCTCAGCGGCGCCGATCCCTGCGAGACGCGACGGCCGAGGGTGGGTGGTCGCAGGTCAGGCGTCAGAGGGGTGAGGGACGTGAAAAAGTGGGGGGGGGGGGGGGGGCACCTGCGATCATCCTCGGACGAGGGGCTGCGCCGGCGCCGGCGTCGCTCGCGTGAACCCGAGCGCAAACCCGAGCGCGAGTCGTCCCGGCGGCCGCCCCCCCGGTCGTTGTCCCGGTCCCCCCCCCGGTCCCCCCCACCATAGCCTCCCCCCCCCCCCCCAAGGCCCCCCCCCCCAAAACCCCCCCCCCCATAGCCTCCCCCAAAACCCCCAAAACCCCCCCCCCCAAAGCCCCCCCCGTACCCACCGCCGCCGCTGGGGGGCATCAGCCCGGGACGGGCGACCCCCCAAGTTCCCCCCATGTCGTCAAGCTCCACCCCCATGGATCCCACCTGGTCCCGGATGGAGTCCCCAAGCTGGAAGTTGCCCTGCTTGCGCGCCTGCTCGCGCTGCACCAGCATCCGCCCGAGCCGCTCCTCGTCCACCGGCGCCGTGTCCCCCGGCTGGCGCGAAAAGCCCCCGTACGTCGCGCCCCCCCCCGCCGGCGCCTGCCCAGCGAGCCGCGCAAACTCCGCTGAGAGCATTCCCTGCCCCTCGACGGGCC